ATTACAAATTAATTTCCAGTTTTGCCGGAATGGTGCCACATCTATTAATCATCATTTTGCATGGCTGGGACACAAAGCAGGTCTAGCTATCCCAAATAAATTATATTAGGTTTTCATCTGTCGGATTTTGAAGAAAACAAGAAATAAGATGTAAATTATACGTCTCTGGCCGAACCAAGCACTACTAACCATCAAGAGACAAATACTTACCAGCGTCAATTCCGGAATCACTAGAAGATTTGCTAAATCTCTGGGGAAGACGTCTCTTTCGCTTCTACACAGCATCATCTTCCGATACCAGGTTTGACGTGTCCTCTGCCTTCCTGGCGATGCTTTTGCGCTTTCACATAGTTGCCTGTATGTAAAAATAAAACAAATCAATCCTTAAGTTATTAATCTACGTTATTGGAAATCAATTTCTTTAAATAATGTGTCATCTGAACTAAAAAGATTTTTTTTAAAGAGACGAAATTGAGAACAAGATAGGCCTATAGATCTAGGTCGCGATATTTCTAAAAAAACAATTTCCATACAAAAAAGGTGGTTTGGGGAGCCTGTTGTAATAGGGGGTGGGATAATATAAAGTTGCTAAATGCTGGTGGAGGGAAAAGCATGGAATGTTCCACTGGGATTTTAAATGCTATTGAGGGAAGAGTAAATAAGTCGCGAAATGAGCTGGTAGTCGAGGGACTTATTTTCTTCACGAAATAGCATTTTAAATCCCGATGGGAACTTTCCATGATTTTTCCAGACAGCAAAGTTAACAACTCAACTGTTTTAATCATCCGATTACCATGTAATGTAACGAGCCATGCGCACATACCCACTCCAGCAAAAAGTCCATGCTATTATGCGTATTGACCTCTAGCACTGCACTACGTGTTAATACTTTTAGGCAGCATTTGCTCAAAAGGAATAGTCAATACACACATAATACAATCATGCCGATGCGGCTGTAAGCAAATTTTGACAGTAGATCTAGACAATTTGAATTTCTAAATTGTTCTTTCTAACAAAATAACATCGGTAAGTTGAACAAATTGTATTTTATTAGACTAGACTACTGCTATTTAGGTGTCATCAATTGTCACTAAAGTACCGATTTTTAGTGAAAGAGTTTTGTACAGTGGTGTTTGAAATGTTGAGTATCAATAGCACAGCTTTTAATACACACAACCAGGATAGTAATGCAGCTATGTATGCACTAACTCGCAGCTATGTATGCACTAACTCCAAGAAGCTCCGACGCCGTTCGGCATCGGAGCTTCCTGGAGTTATGTGTGCACATACCCTAGCCTACCCAATTACCATACCAGTCAATGCAATGAAAGTTTCAACGGCCTGCACATGCAACATAGAGTCTGCCGTACTTTTAGTTTTAATGCAAATATTCAATATTTTATTTCATTTTACATGCTTCAAAATCAATCAAACAAAGCTTAAATTCCTTACAGATATCAAAATGTTAAAATAACGCTTACCTCGGTGTCGCAGTCTAACAGATTATTTGAAATCTCGAAGTCACGTCATCAAGCAGTCAACTCGTCAGTCAGTTTAAAACACGCGGCAAGCTCTAGTGACGTGGAGCGAGCGCGCCGCACCGGCCGCGCTCGCGCTGGATACGATTCACTGACCTATACAGTGGTACTATTATATACGGTGCGTACGCACTTTGTATACACGTGGTTGAATGGAGCATAATAAATGATGTAGCGCGGTCGGACTGATTGGGCTGGGGGGGGGGGGGGGGGGGGCACAAACATTATGTGAGGGGGAGGGGTCACTCCTTATATATTTCTTTTTTCTTCAAATAATTTCACCTTATGTTTTCTATTTTTTTCCCTCAAAATTATTGGGGGCACGTGCCTCCCTACATCGCTACGCCACAGGAGTGCATCAGTTTGACATACCTCGACCCCCCCCCCATGCGTATGCATGTGGCCTAATTTCGCCAGCTGGTATTTTTTAAGAAATATTTATTTGGACATAAAAAATAAATTCTACAAAATACGTCTGAATAAAACGTTCTGTAAACGTTTTACAGGACCTATCCAAGAACGTTTAATTTGTAACGTCCAAAAAACGTTTTCTGAACGTCTTCAAAAGATCTAGCTCCGCAGCGAATGTAAAGTCCCAACTTAGACGTTATATAAACGTTTTTTAAACGTTTAATATGGACGAAGACGTACGGAACCTGATAAGAACGTTCTGTAAACGTTCTAAAAACGTTTTGTGTTTGCTGGGGAGTCTGTTGATCCTTTGATTATCCGAGGTGAACTCTGCTCACGGATGAGGAAAGAAAGATCATGATAGTTCAAAATAACAGGAAATAATACCCACCTCTTGATGCAGTCAGAGACTGACAGAGCTAGACTCTACTCAATGCATGCTTTAGGATTTGTTGTAAAGTGTCAATTCGGAGTGGGTGCCTGCAGACTAGTTTCCTTGAGTAGATTCCTTGACCATGATAATATTAAGAAGGGCATTTATACTCTTTTTAAGTAGGCCTGTGTATTAGTCAAATCCCTCTGGTTAAAGTTTATTTTAATTGGTATCCACAGTGTTATGAATAACGATAGATTGAAGTGTTTAAGCTATTCCCATTTTTCATCTTGTGCCAAAAGACTGTTGCTCGCAGTCGTGTAGTGACCAAGATAAGAGCTGGGGTCTCACAGAGTCATACCTTCCTCCTTCTTCTCGTGGGCCTGCGAGCGGGCGCTGAAGGGATGTTTATTGTCAAGGTGCTACATATCCCACCCCACCCCATAGGACGAGTTTATATTTTATTGTTAGTTGGTTTGATCGATGTGGTTTTATTTGTTTTAATTGTCATTTTGTTTGGTTAATTTTTGTTTTTGTTTGTTCTGTTATTGCTTGACCTGGAATTCTGGGACGCCAGTTCCGATCCCTATCAGGTTACCTTATTACCTTATACCATTAGCTCCCCAAGTGACAAAAAGAAAAAAACTCAGACCGCATAGGTCCCTGCCCGTCCCCTCCTCCTGTCATTGGTTTCATTGGTACTCTTTTGAAGTAGGCCTGTGTATTAAGTCAAAATCCCTCTGGTTCAAGTTTTATGTTAATTAATATCCATAGTGTTATGAATAACGATAGAGTCATGTGTTAAAGAATTCCCCTTTTTTATTTTGCCATATGATCTAATCGGTCGAAATGCGACCTCTTCAATTTTTTGACTCGTTCCCTTAGCTCGCGTCCGACGATCACACTCAACTGCAAGGCATTGTGGTGAAGCATTATCTTAGACCACGTCGAGAGAAATCTTTAAAGTCATCCCTGATAATGTAGTAGGAGTATATATAAAATAATGTTTAAAAGTTGCATTCTTTTCCTTTGCAGGTGCACGTTCCCCCACCCAGAAAGTACTATCTTAGTTGGAGCCCCCCCCCCTCACGTTACAAGATGCTCCGCCGCCACTGGACCATAGTCGACCAAAGGTTGATACCCCCTCCCTCATGACTGAGCCTACACTACGCCACTGTCTATCATTATAATTTATAATAATTACAGAAAGAGAGAGAAAGAGAGGAAGAGAGAGAGAGAGGGGGTGGGGTAGGAAGAGAGAAAGGGGCCATGTCTTTGTAGTTTAAAAGTCATTCATTAGGACGAATTATTTTTGTTTTAATCGTCATGTTCATGTTTCTGGAATAAAGACAAAATAATGCTATCAATATGTGTATAATATGTTTTAGAATAAAATGAGACAATACAGAAAACAGATCTATGAAATTGTCTTTAAAGGTAGGTATCCCTTTTGCAGCCAACTGCCAACATAAAATATGAATTTGTCACCTATGTCCTATCTGAGAAATGTTAACTTTAGCAGTGCCCTACTATTCAAATTTACCCGTTTACTTTTTAGACTTCACTGTCAGACACTATTGAGTGACTGACTGACCTTTTTTCTTTGGTAATAACATACATAAAATGAGCTGTAAATGATATGAGCTTTTGTACACATCACTAGCCCGCTTCTTGTAATGGTCAAAATTAAGCTGCTGAAATCTTTGCGCAGCTCAAAACGTACGACCGCACGTAACAAGGCTCTGAAAATCAGACTATTTTCGACGCATAATTTAAGGAGCGCGTATCGTAAATTCCTACCGGTCGATAGAATTCAATAAAGGGGCAATTACCAGTTCTAATCTTTTAAAGCTTATCTGCCGTAGTTTACAGGAGGGATTAGACCGCTCTGCAAGGTCACTGGACAGGTGGTTATCTCATCAACTCAGCTCTCAGTTAACATAAGAAAGAGAGGATCATGGGGGACCAATGGTCACCGATTAGGCATCGTTTGTTATATAGAGGGAGCAAGTAGCTACCAGTAGTGCAGTGGGCCTTTAAGAGGAGTTTTAATTTGGTATTATCTTTTGTTTACCCAGGATTTACATAATGCTATATTTTCAGCTGACAAAAGGGACACACCTCCTTTAAGAGAGAAGGAGCGATGATTTCTATCGAAATGAAATGAAAGGGTGTGTGTGAATTTTAAGGATAAATTTACAATTGATATCGATCATGACGGCCATATTGAAGGTTTTGAACAAAACTCATGAGCTTCAGGGGACCTGGGTAACTAGCATAATCATTGTTTCACTTCATTATTACTAAAATCTATGAAAGTTATATCTGGCCCCAACATATATAAGTTCCTATCGCTGGTCTAATCATACTTCTTTGAACAAACAATAGAATGCTAATAGGAGACAATTGACAACTTTGAAATCTATTATCACTAGTGAAATAACAAAATGAGCCTTCGGGAAGCTGCAGTGAGTGAATTAAGGCAGATTATACGCAAATAATCGGTTTATTATTCAAAGCCATTAAAAAAATATGCAGAAAAGGTTTACATTATCCATGTCGTACACAAACATTTTGTTAAAATTATTAATGTCATGGCTAAACCAAGGCTGCGCCACTGCCGCGACGGACTTAAAAATAGATTTACCGATTTATTGTTCACTTTCACCTCAAGGGCTGCCGCAACAAGACGTGTTTTTTTCCGCTGTCTGCGCAACAATTCGCTTCTTGGAGTAAGAAATTATATTTTACTTCTAGTTTGATTGCTGGGGCTTTTTCTCTTCTTACTTGTATTATTTCCGTATTTTGGTTTGGGGTACGATTTTGGACAGTCATTATGCATTTGTTTTTGTCGCTTGAACCCTTTACCATTAATCAAAAGCTGTTTATGAATAGCGTCCCTACAGATAAAACTAGCTGATACAAGCGCTTCATATTGTAATAACTAATGTTGTTTTAACATTTCAGATTTTTTTAATTTAAACCTGTCAAAAGTGTTGGGAACCCCAAAAATTTGATAGCAAAATTTCACTTAAATTGTATCATAATCTGAAAGAGGATGTCATTTGAGACACATTTTTGGAAGGATTTTCAACCAAAAAAAATGTGTTTGGAATTGAATATTGAAGAAAGACTACAACATTTAGGTTTCCTGCGGGGGAGGGATCTTTACAGAAGTGTATCTTAAATGACATCCTCTTTCACATTATGATACAATTTAAGTGAAATTTTGACATCAAAACTTCGGCGAATTTGGGGCTCCCAACACCTTAAAGGATCCTTAAATGGTGATAATATGGTACATGTATTGTATTGTATTTATTAAACTTCATTGACATACATCAATAATCTGTTTATAAAAAAGAAAATCATATAAATCAATTTACAATTTACAATGCAATGTAACGAAACATTATACTTTTTGTAAAAATTTATATCATATCAATCAATTCACAATGCAGTGTAGCAAAACAGAAGGAAAATTGTATACAGCAGAAAAACTCTTTTTTCTTCTTGTAATCACATGACACATAGTGCATAAAGTAAATAATACAATGTACTATGATACATATATAAAACCTAATATAGCAAGTTTCTAAATAAATTATTACTCATGCTATACAAAATAGGCAAATCAGGTACATGGAATGCAATAGATAATCGTTTCGCCTAAAATGAATGACGTAATAGTACCTATATATATATATACATATATGCGACCTACTGTGAAATTAAACCAAACACGTAAGGTTTTAAAACAAAAATTGCCTTGTCTATATAGGCGGGGTCATTGTCGTTTAATACATTTGGTCGAATACAGAAAAGAAATATACAGGAAATAATAGGGTTGTTTACTTGTTATTTAAATAATTGTATAAGGAGTTTTTTTTTTTTTAACTTAGTAGTTACATAGTATCTAACAGTTACCCCTTACTGCAATTATGTTTTTGGTGATCGAAAAGAAAAAATCTATTATATCTTTATTGTCTAATCTCATTATATATATGAATTATTCTTGGCATTCCAAATCACTAACATCTTCTTCAAAATTGCTAATTTTTTTCAAGAAAATATATTCGTAAATCGTTATATTTATCACATTTCATGATCACATGGAATTCATCTCCTACTTGATTCATATTGCAGTCTTCACAGAATCGTAGATAAGGGGGCGTTTTTCTCGTCTTTTATATTCCTATGGGTAAGTTGTGTACGCTCAGTCGTAGTTTGGTCATATTTTTTCTTTAATTAATATTTGGTATATGAGATGAATGCTTTTCTTGCTTGATTGTCTGAAGGTTCTGAGTTTATTTCCGTTACGGGTTTCCCTATCATCGAATAAATCTAGTTTTAAATGTTCATCAATTCGTCTTTCCAAACAAAGTTTACATAGCTCGACAGCATGTTGTTGAGAAATTGGTATATTTTTAGGGTCTAATACGGTCTCATTTCCATTATTACTACAAATATTTAGTAAACTTAATATATCCCGAATTGGCATTAACCAACAGCTTTGTTCGTTATTTAGTATTTTTTTGTTTTCTTCAAAAAGGATTTATAGACAAGGTCATTTTCATCCAAACTTCGTATTTGTATCCAATATTTGAGCATGTTTATTGCTTAAAGTTTATTGCTTAACGTTGAGGATTTCTTCCAATGTTCGGCTAGATTGCTGCAATCTTTATTATAATAAAGTCCTGTTTTCCCTGTATTTTCTTTATGTCTGTTGCACAAGCTCCCAACATTTCTGATCCATAAAGCAAAATAGGTCGTATAGTTGCATAAAAAAGGTATAATAAGGCTTTAATCCTGGGCGTATAATTGCCCAAAGATTTATAAAGTTTAAATAATGATATCATGGCCTTATCCGCTAAGTCCCTTGTCGCCATTTAAACGATCCAATATTACTAAAAACAATGCCTGAATATTCATTTCCTTTACCGAGCTAAGTTTTTTCCCTTTTATTTAAATTTCACTTTTATCATTTAACCTGCCTGATTTATTAAATATTAAACGTAATACAAAGTTTTGGTATGGGTTTATGACTTTGGTTCAAATGAACATATTGATCGCTGTCGCGATTAAAATCGAGTCTGAAGTTATGCAATTGTGAATATTAAACTCTGTATGTTGTATAGATCTCTCTCAAGATTGATTTTACTTCAGCTTCAAAACAATGTTGTTTTTTTAAAATAAAATCATGATTATAATGATATAGTTGTTTCGTTGAATGGTAATATTATTGATCGTTGTTCTTCTTTAAAAAAATTGGATGTGACTATTGATAATAAGTTATCCTTTAATGAGCATTTTGAAGTCATTTGCACGAAAATGTCTAAAAGTATAGGTATTCTAAATAAGTTAAAGCATTTCCCACAAAATATACTCAAAATGATCTATAATTCCAGTTTTTTGCCTTATTTTTAATACTGTAACCTAGCCTGGAATTCCTCGGCTACATATTCAATGCTACGTTTATACAGATTACAAAAAAGGGCAGTGAGAATCATTTCGCATGCTAATTTTCTCGCCAATACAAAGCCGTTATTTAATAAACTGAATATGTTGAATATATTTGATGTTTCTGATTATGAAATTGCAACTTTTATGTACTTATGTTTTAAAAATTACATACCAAACAGCATTTTAGATTTTTTTTTCAGAAGTTATTCTGTAAATCTTCAATCTGGTCTTGTACTCATACTCTCTTTTTATCCTAATTTCAAATTTTCAGTTTTTTCTGTAGGTGGCATTTCCTTCCTTTCTAGCTGCCTCCTCATTCACATAAATACTCACTTTTGCTATGTTTTTGTCCAGATCACCTTATTTTGTACTTTTATCTTATGTAATGTTTGTTTATTTTGACTATATATCTTGTGACTTTGTATGTTATTGTATCTAAATGTTTTTTTATGATGAATGGACTTGAAACTTGATTATCTTATCTTATCTATCTATCTTATAGTATGGCCGCAGGCACTATTTGAAAATTTTATCGGGAGCATCGATAAATTTGATATTTTAATTTTTTGAAATCCTTAGCGTTTTAGAGGCTAATTTTTCAAATTTGCTTATTTTAACACTAGGTTTCGCAATGGTAATGAAGATTTTGAATTTCATAATCCAATCCTGTTGAAATATTACCAAAATTTGTAATACCTTTAATATTTTACATCCAGGAGTTACAATAAAACTTGTACTCACATGTACATGTACCCGTCTGGCATTAAGATTGTTGAAATTTCTATTTGATTCTTTGTCTTAATAGTATTAACTTCATCTCTAAGTTACCATGCTCAAAACTTGTTAATTTGAGTGACTCAATAACTGTTGTTTGATAAAGATTCCTTAGATCGTATATCTGAAATGGCCAAATCCATTCTCTTAGGCAGGCCCGAAACTAAGGGGGGGGGGGGGTGCGTGCGCATCCCCTCCCACCCCGATAGCGACAAGAGGTCTGTGAACAAAAAACATCTAAGGAGGAGGATGCTCATTTATAGTTAAAGGAAACAATGCAACGATGCAAACAACATAGGTAGGACACATTTACTAGCTGAAACCGTTGCGGTGTTCAAATTGTATATAAAACTTGATTTCAGACAGGAAAATGCCAAAGTGTTTTACTTACCCTGGGAGGGGGAACACCAGAACCGGCGCTCCTGGATCACCTCTGAAAAAATTGCTGTTTTTACTTTGACGCTTGCTCCTTTTCTTTTCTTATAAAGTCCTTTCCCCGGAAAATGAACCCCCGGAAAACTACCCCCAAGGACAATTACCCCCCCCCCCCCCTCGGTGAATTACACCCCGAGGACAACTACCCCAAGGACAATTACCCCCCCCCCGGAAATTACCCCCGGAGAATTACCCCCTGAGGACAACTACTCCCCCCCCCCCCGATTAGGCAAGACATTAGGCAAGAGTTACCGTCTGTGTATCACTAGCTAGCACACCCCCCCCCCCCTCCCTCTCCCCGTTGTGCGTTAGGCAAGAGTTACCGTCTGTGTTTCTGAGAAGATTGATAAACGGTTCTATTATTTATTTCCCTATACCAGACGGTTATTTCTGTCTCATTCATCTCCAAAACGAAGTGATCATTGATGTGACATATAAGAGAGTGGATTTCCACTACTATCCATTTAGAGCTGGGCTCATATTAACAAATCATTACTATAAGCCTAGTTGTCAACTAGTATATAATAGTTGTCAACTTGCTGAGTAAGGATATGAATATGAGCCCGAGTGGTGTTTCACAAAGACTTAGATTGCCTTAAGTTGGACTTGAACTACAGCAGGCCATTCATGCCACTGGTTGCTCTCACCATTCGTCTCTCAAGGGAAATCCCGAATCTACATAATTTACATTTTTTGATAGTTCATTGTTGAAAAAAAGAAGTTACATTGTAAACTTAAGTTTTTTAAGACTTGGACATATCCTACGGTAGGCGATCTTTGCCCTTAAAAGGTCTTGAACCAGATGTAAAATTAGAGGAAAAAACCTTATAAATTGTGATCTTTAGATAATATTTTTTTTTTTCCTTCAGTAATCAAAAAATGTAAATTCTGTAGATTTGTGACCACGATGTGTACGTTCCCTGAGAGACTAATGCCAGGAATGGTGAGATCAACACGTGGCATTAAAGGGCTTGCCACAGTTCCAGTCCAACTTAAGTCGATCAGGTATACAATAATGATGGCTTTACTCTAGCTTTTGGTAAATTCTTAGAAATATTAG